TTCCTCTGAAAGCACAAAGCATCATGGTTAGATCTGCTTTGGAAGGCTGTAAGTGGCTCCAAACCCTATCAGTGGTATAAAAGCTAGTGATGAATTTGGAAGCCTAGAAGGATTACAAGGACTAACTGCACCCAAAGTCAGAGTGGGTTCGGCCAAAGTCTTTCATTCTTCCAGGGACTCTTCAGAAATACCTTATAAATTTTCAGTAAAATACTCATTGTACTTTGAGTCTCTTTTGTAACACCTATAATAATATTATTAGTAATACAATGTAGTAGTATTTATTACTAATAGTAATTAATAAGTGATCATCATAATATAAGTTTCATTGTCTCCTGAAAAAGCAGGCCCTCAGGAGTTAGCCTAGTGTGAGAATTACTGAGTACATTCCAGTGAAATACAGGTATTTAAACTTTCCAGTCTGAAGAATTCTGGGGCTGAAGAAGGAGACTACAACCCATTTAGACTGTTGCCTCAAAAAGGTCACAGGGAGAAACTAATGTCCTAACGTGCTCCTCGCTAGAAAATTATCCTTTTACGCTTTCTGTTGCTGCTGATCTACTCTTCAGGAAAATAGCAATAAATTGCACACATATAAAATCGCCTCTTGGACGTGAATAACTGCAATGCCACAATGAAATACCTTCCAGTCTAAATCATGAAAAGATGCTCAGGAGGTACATAGTTCCGGGCTAATGGTACTCAACCCTATTGCTTTTGTTTGCTTTTTTGCTTTTCATTTACAGAAAGCTTGGTTGTGAGGAATGCTTGTTCACTACATTTCTGAGAATAACAAAGAAGGGAACTTGAGATATTTTTGCTTAACTTTGGAACAAATGCCTTGTTTGAGAGATCTTTCAAATAGTGATGGCTACTGGTAGATGGTCTGGACATCTTGCATGAAAAGGTCTTGGAAATTTTTGGTTAAATAAGAAGTCACCAAGAAAATTAGCTCTTAAAACATACTACTTACATTACAAAACATATATAAACTTTATGAGGAAGTGATAAAAGCTGGAATAGTATCCTGATCAACAGGTGGCCCTGGGCAGCATATTCCTCACTATTTGTTCTATAAGTGAGCACTGGTTTAGGAAAAAAGCCTGCCCTGGGGAAAAACACAGGGCTGACAAGGGAAGGTAATCAGTTACCTCACAGGATCTGTCAATCTGTCTTCCACGTAAGTACTCAAATCAAAACACACTGAATAGTCATTAGAAACTTTAACGGGACTGGAACACTAGTCAAGTCCTGTAGTTTTTGTGATAACACTATCACCAGGTACATAAAAGTCATGTTAGGAAAGAAAAAAGAAAAAAAAAAAGATTAAAAAATTCAATTAATTGCTGTGATAAAAGGGCCTCCTGCCTCAAAACCAAACATTCTTGAGTATGTATTGGAATGCAGCCCTCAGCTGCCTGATCACACACATACATATTTCCCTTCCCTCAGGACTCTGGCCTCATAAGGACAATGCAGAGTTAACACACACCTGGGAAACTATTAATTATTGTTCTTCCTGCTTGTTCAAACTGTCCCTGTACTTTCCTCTCTGTTCAAAGAAAATAACTACCTGCTCCTTACAGGCCGCTCATTTCTATGGAAATCAGCTCTGTGTGGTCCAGCTTCCAATATCCTTTTGCTAAGTGGCAGCCACAGTGATGAAGACGGGGGCACTGACAATAATGTGGAAAAAGTTGAAAATTAGTCTAAAAATAAGTTAGTCAGCAGTAGAATGGGAAAAGGGTCATGGCTTGCACAGACACTAATCTCAGCTTTAGATTTACTACCTTCCTAGGGAATTTTGCATAGCTGGTCAGCCCCAAACTGGCGGGGTTTTGAGTGGGTTGTTGTTTGTTCCCCCTCCCCCAAAGCAGTAAGAGCCTAATCCACAAGCTAACGATTTACCTAGAGCACTTATAATTTTCTTCCTTGTAATTTCTTCTTTGCCTGAAGGAATTAAAACTGGTTTTTCCTAACTACCAGGCAAGGGTTTCTGAGCTCAGGTTCTCAGCGTTTCCCATCTAAGCTGTTCTGTTTTGCATGAGCTAATTTCCTGTTTACAGAAAAAATAACCAAGAGAGATTCTATAGCTATAGGGAAGGAACAACCACCTGAAAACTAGGATGTCATTCCAGTTACCTTCAGCTAATTCTGAAAGGTTTTTAATATTCATTGAAATAAAGATTTGATACCAGCGGAATTAATTCTATGCTCATGTGCTTCATTTCTCACCTCCAATCCTGCCAGTCTGGCCAGTTATGCCAGTAAGATTGCAGTCTAACTCTCTGTTCTCCTTTCTTCTTCCCCCACTTCCCAAATACCCTGGCACATAAGTACCACAATACAGTTAATACCCTAATTCAAACACACTTAAAACTTGAGACACCACCACACCCGACTTAAAAACTGCACGAAATGCTGGTTCTCGTAGGCCATCTAGTGGTAAAAGGAGAATAGTACAAAGATAAAAAACGTCAAACTTTTTCTTCAAGATGGTTGAATATAATCCACAAGACACACAGGGCTACCTTGCTGATGTTTTTTCATGGACGTTTTTTCTTCCACACAGCAGCAAGCAAGATGATTAGGCTCATAAGCCACAATCTGAATAAGCTGAGAATATGACCACAAGCTCATTTCATTCTCTCTCCAGCATTAATCCTAAAAAACTGTGCCAGAAGTTCTATCTGAACAATGAAAAACTACACTGGAAATCACTTAGAGCAGACAGGAGGTCTACTGAAACTTGTTTAAAACAAAATTTTAAACCCTCTGTTGGGTGAGTGCTAGCCAATTCTGGGTTCATCTAGTTTGCTTCTCACTGCAGGAGACCTTGATGGAAGATGGCAGGTATCCAGACAGCCATGCTTTGCTTACAGCGCTCAGAGCCCTGAAAGCACCAACAGGCTCTGCAACCACTTCCCGCCACTATGGGGGTTTGGTTGCCTGTGCACAAGTGAGCTCTGACACAGTGCAGCTGGGATGAGATTGCTGTGAATAGGCTGTATGAGAAAGATCTGCAGGCATCTTTGTTGAAAACTTCTGTCTCTTGGCTCAGCAGCCACATTTTAAGTGCATTTAAGCTCAGGGTCTGGGCATGGATGGGTCCCTGCCTGAGCTGTGTTGGGCCACAGCTCTCAGTTATCCTGATCCTGACTTGCTGACATGACCACTCCAAGTGGACACAGGTTATAGTAGCCTTCTGATTTGTGACTGTCACAAATGGAAATAAAAAACCCGACACCTTTAATGTTTTATCTGTGGTGTCTAAAAGAGAACCAAAATACACTTCTGCTTGAATAAAAGTTTATTTCATGTCTCATAGAAAAACACGGATACCATCAAATAAGGCTTCACAAGATAAAGGATATAAAGGAAAGACACATACAAATTTGTAATAAATACACTGCTCTCTCATCATATTACACACAATATTTCTCATAGTCACACACTTAAGAACTATTTACTACCATTGTACTTAACAGACACTTTACTTGCAAGATTGATCTCTGTTTTGAAGGCTAAAACCTGCTTTTCTTACCTAGGCAAATTGTTAGAGCTATTCCAAAGAACTCAGACTGAATAAGAACACTGGACTTGGCTTGTAAGTATCTTAGCTGCTACTTTTATATGCAACTGTACAGTGCAGTCTTCTTTTTAGTCTTGGCTCTATTCAGGTTCTATTCTAATATAGTTAATGTAACAAAATAATCTATATTAAAAAAGAGTTCCATTTATGGAATTTGGCCAATCTGACTAATGTAGAACTAACCTGCAATATCACGTTTATGCTTATAATTACCTGGTAGTGTCTTTCTGGTAGTCACAGATTGCTAATGCATTTAAAATTCTTTTACACAGTTGTTTCATAATAAAGAACATGTCAGAGTCCTTTACTTGCAAAACCTGAGAAATGTACCAGCTTCATTTAGATATGGTACTTGAACATGTAAGGTACTACAAAACAGAGCTGAGGTACAAAGCTGAATTCTTCATAAACTCCAAATCCCCATTGATGTTAACAGAGTTTTGAAGCTGTGCAACAGAGGAGAGCTATATTTGATTGTCACATCTTAGTTTCTTTTTGGATACCACACAAAACCACTGAACAAAATTTTCACTAAGTGAAAGCAGAGCAAATTTTTTTAAAAGATATAATAGTGTATTGAATGCAACTGCTATAATCACATTATGTCAACATTAATAGGTTTCTCATATACATTCATTTGCTGTTTGAATTCTAGCTGCATTAAACTATCCAACAAGACAGAAACAAACTGCTGCCTTTACTGTCAATGGCAAACTATTTCTTGACTCAAAGTGACAATTCTATCCAGTAGCTACAGGAAAAGTCAGACTGTATAAAGACAAAAATAGGTTTACATTCTTTTAAATACAAAGAGATGGACGTCTGCACTTCCTATCTGTCTGCTGACCCCAGTTACTCTCAGACACATTCCTCAAGGATATATAAAACTGAATCTGAAAAGAAGAGAAAGTGGAATGAGCACTTAACTATGCCCTCCAAACTTACTTATTTTACCTGATGTTTGTGACACCTAGTTCACACTGCATCCTCATAGTTATGTAGAAGTCACAAAGTATAAGCATTTCAAACAATGCTGAATGTACAAGAGAAAGAGCCTCACAAATGGGATAGAACGTGCTTTTTAAGGAAAAATGTCTCTTTTCTGTCATATCTCCTTACTATTTGGCACCTGTCAAGAACTTGGTTACATCCATATGTTTATGACAGATCCAAGATGAGGATTCTCATTTGTTAAATTATTTGAAAGGGACAGAATTTAACTAGGCAATGTATCTAAGTCTCTAGTGCTATACTCCACAACATTTTAAAAAACTTAACTTCTATATTTAAAAATACATAAATACAGTGTTTTTCCTTGCAATAACCTGATTACTTCCAAGTTTATAAGCATAATCAAGATCTCGTCCCTGAAAGAAAATTGTGCTTTTCTGTAGCTTGCCTTAAAGCGTGATCCAGGAACAAAGTAAATTTTTATATTAATGGTCCAACAGTGAAGAAGAAACACAAGATTAATAATTTTAAAGGAAGAGAATTGTTCTGTCTTTCTGTCACATGCAGTGCATTCTATCAGTTTAATTATGCAATGCTGGCAAATAATTCCACTTATAAATAGCAACACTGCATCTTTGACACAACACTCAATCAAAAAAATAGATTTGCTGGAATGAAGAAAATGTTCCTGTATATATTGGAGCATAATTATAAATCAATTCTTTTGTTTCCTCATCTTCATTGGGGAAACGGTGAAAGCTCTTCCGGGCTGTAAAACATTGTAAAAGTATACATCAGTTTACTGTTATCCTCCTTGACAGTAGTTTTCTTGGCAAAGTAAGTTATTCTATGTAGCATAACAGCAAATAGAATCACAGTAACTAGTAGGTAAAGAGCTGTGAAGATACATCTTCAGGAAGTTGGTTACAGCAGTATTTTATTACTGGGGATTGAAAAATTTCATTATTAATTTAAAGCCAAGACTGTACAAGAACATTTATCCACAAGATAACTGTATCTAGCAGTATTATCTAGTAGTATTATCTACCTGTAATACTGAAAGAAATGTGTCAGAGTACTGAAAGCTGCAGTGTTAGCATGGATTGTGCTTGTGAGGACAATAAAAACTCAATTCTCATCTGATTTATCATGTTATCCAGTCTACACAAGTTGAAATTAACAATGGATATGAAAATAATATTTCACTAGAATGGTTTAGTTACTAAGTAATCATAGATGAACATATTTTTTCCAGTGGAAAACAGTTTACATTTTTCACTCCGTGATTTATTTTCAAAGTTAAAGAAGACATTATGTCTTACATTAGCTAAAACCATAAATTACTCCTTATAATGTTATGATATGAAACACTCAGTAGAAGCAGCTGTGCACAGATTGGAGAGATAATGAAGAATAACTTGTGATTTGGTATACAAGACGGGGGTAGACACATAGTGATGGCTGACACAAGTTTGTTCTACTAGAATTGAAGGACAACAGATCCAAAAGCTAGTGACTTATCTGTGTGGTACTATGCACAAGCTTACCACCTGTGTATAAAAGAGCTCCCAAGCAGTGTCTCTCAACAGAACTTACAAGGAAAGCTGGCACTTCATTGCCACATTTACTTGGATAATGGCCTGAGCAAGCTTACTTCTGCCTGTAATACACTGTGCAGACTGAACGTAGCAAATAAAACTAGAAAACCTGCTGCATCCTAGTATTAGACTATTAAAGAAAAAACACACTCTTACTATACTTCCTCCTTTATTTTTGCCTTAGTCTCCCATGAGTACCTATCGAAATTCTTAAAATTTGTATGAAGCATAACTTTTATTTCTACACTCTCAGTGCCCAGGTCATCACAAGCTGCATTTCATTAAATCACTGCCTGCTTTCTCCAATTAGGCGGCTCTTTGGTTAGAGATCAAATCCAGAGACCAAACTCAATTAGGTTACTGATTATGTTCTTCATAGCCCCAATCAGATACAACCATTTAATAAATAGTAAACTTAAAATATGAAAATTATCTTTGAGCAGAATGGTTTCGTAAGTATAAACAAATAAAGTAAGTTTCATGGATTCAAACACTCCCGTATTTATAACCCACTTATAGCAAATAGACCAGAAGTGTCATGAAGTACCAAAATTTTACACATCAGATACTTGTAGCTTCTTAAGGTATCAAAATCAAACTAGAAGCTCCGTAAAATTAAAAAATAAATAAATTACGTTGTCTATAGTACATAATTTTTGGGTCCTATATTGCACCCCTTTGAAACATCTGTATACTTAGCCCAAATGCTATTTATAATTTTGGTGCTATTATTTTGCAAGCAAAACTGAGAATACATTGAATGACTGTAACCCAGTTTGGAACAGAAGAAAACTCTGGAATTATAAATGGAGTCTTTTTTTCCTGGACTATTTTTTTCATTTAATTCTTTGTGCAAGGGAGGCTAAAAATGTTAAAGTGATAATTGAAAACAGTAGAAAGTCACAGCACAGACAGGGGATTTCAGCCATACTGGTAAGAGTTTGTGGAATACTTGGCCTTTTGGTGTCACTTTTACTAAGCCATTCTCTTTCCAGTAACCTTTGTTTTTTTATAAACCTGTAAAGCTTGCAGAGTAATCTTCTCAGAAAGCAGTAAGATGTACTGAACTTTGACAGCTGAAAAAGAGGGCTGTCATCTTCAAAGACTAATGCTTCACTCTAAAAAATTGCCTTTATAGATAATAAACTTTTTACCTTCATTAATGAAGAAGTCAGCCATATAATATGATGCTCTTACAGCTGATGGGGAATGTGGAATGCCTGGTGAACTCTTCCACTCAAAAGGACTTTTCTCTGGATGCCACTGGACACCATAAACTGGATATTTATAGGCTACAACAAACACAAAGCACGTATAGCAAGGTCTATGCTTTAAAAATTATGTACTTAGTCTTAATGCAAAAGAAACTCAAAGATAAGCTACAAAAATACCTCACTTATCAACAGTTAAAAAAAAAAACTTAAACAGCAAGTTGAAATTCTGTTAAAGTCACATTTGGACTGAAGGAAAAAAAGGAATATTGTAAAAGAAGGACCTTATTCCACACAAAAATATTTTTGCATACAAAAATATAATGCTACAAGTGTATCAGTCTCAAAACTTCCTATCTACTGCCAGCATCGCTCAACATACAACATTCACAGCCACACAGGACATCCCTGGCACTTTCATGTGACAGATCCAAGTCTTTCAGGATTTCCTTGAAGGCCCAGTCAATCCAGGAGCAGTTCCTTATCTGCACAGTGCCAGGCCTGATGCAAGCAGCAGGAAGGCAGTCCTTAACTCTCCTGCAGAGAACAGCAGCTGATGACTGCTCTTTGCTAACTGCTTGCAGGCATGGGCGATGTCAGTCATTAATCAGGTTTTCTGATCAAACTGCTATTCTTCTCTTCTGGAGGACAGCCAGCACACCATACAGAGGAACCTCAGGGCTGACAGCTGAGCCTTACTGTAGAGCTGCTACTAAGTGCACTTATCAAGATAAACCACTCCCTAAAGAGCTAACTTGTTTCTTGAGATAAGCAAGCCTGGGTGCAAAATATATGCAACCCAGGATAAGGAACGCAAAAGGCTTTTGGAGGAGGGCAATGACCAGTATTGCTCCTCAAGTAATGAGGGAGGGTTGCTGTTACCTCGGTACCCTGAACTGTGCTCCCTGTACAGCAAACAGATGCTGAGCATCACAGGAAGACAAGCATAAGCAGACAGAAAGCAAGGTGCAACTGCGGCACATGGCACTACACTTCACAGCACTCATATATACCACTACTGAAGGGGGAACAACAGGTGAGAAATTAAGTAATTAGGCTCACATGTACTCAAAAATACCATACCCCTGCAAACAAGAGTTATGGTCCTCACAGCCAAAGCACTGACAGGACTGATGCTCACCCTGCTACTCTAACAGCAAGTTTGCAGTACAAATTAACGTCAATACCACAAAACCTCTGAAGAACTAGTTTGTTACAGTTAGAGTTTACAAAGGAAATTAATTTCCCTACCTTCCATGGTAGATATAAACTCCACTTCACCATCCGTGTTAGTGGTCAGAACATTATAGAAGTTACGAAGCTTTTCGTTCTTTGTGAAATTCTGTCATAAGGAGGAGAATGGGGAAAATGTGTTATTTATTAATTTGTTTCTAGTTTTATCAGAGCAAAAACATTTGTGTTCAGGAAATAAAATTATCAAATACCTCCATGGAGAGGCTCCACACATGGAAGTTTGATGTCAATGGTTCAGTAGCAAATGCATGTAACACATCATCAGGGAAGTTCTTGAATAGTCTACTGTCTTTTGCAGCTATTAAAAAATGAAAAGAATACTGTTCATTATCCAAGCTGATGGACTAATGCTGAAGAGGAGGTAATTAAATAAAAGACTGCATTAAAGTAAACTTTTTTCTGTAATTGTATGAGTTTAGAATACACTGTAAGGAAAATCAGTGAATTAACTACAACAGGTTTCCACTACGCTGTTACCATGGTCCTCCAGCCTTGCGCCACAGAGGACACAACTTTACTACTTAAGTTCTTGCTAAAACAAGCATCATCCTTTGCCACTTGTTTCAGTGACCTTTCCACTCACAGTGAGCACATAGGACAGAATTTGTGAATGCTACATGGTCCACAGATGGATTATTCAAAAAATAAACCATAAAGTATCAACAGTGGCCATATTTTACCTGTGTTCCTGAGTGGCACAGCTCTATCTTACGGTACCTCTCATTTCAATACCACATAAATGGGGCAGCAAATACTATTATTCATAATTGGGAAAGATAAGATTTGAAAAAATTAAAATCACCTGCCGAGTTTTGGACCCATAAATGTTGCTCAGCTCAGTAACAAAAATGGACCTACACTCACATTTCTTTTTGTAGGTAATAATTATCAAAAGACTCTAAGAGCCACAACCATGGTTTTTGCTGACTGCTGTTGGTTTCAAATGACTTGTGCTCACATTGCTGTCTTAAAAGTGAAAGAGCTGCACTGATTTTATAAAAAGTCGTTGCAACTTAATAAGAAAGAATTTAACAAGATAATCAGAAATGTCCCAAACATTCAGTGCTGTGTATTTATCATGAACAAAACACAACATCTCTCAGCAAAACTCAGACATGAGATGTAATGGATTTTTCACCTGAAGTAAAGTTCAGAGGGAGTGCAAAACCATTTGTCTTGGTGTTAACAAGTAAAACTTCACTACTTGTGAGATACGTAAGCTCTTCATGTCCAAGACAGGTTCCCCACACTGGGAAATAATCTCCTTTGTCGTTAGCCTTAAAAATAAAAAGCAACAATGTAAGGAAAAAGTACTGAAGATTTACAAAAAGAAGCCTGAAGAGAACTTGCTACTCTTTTCACTTTCTCTTGTGAAGGTGAGAAGTAAAACTACTACACAGAAGTCCCAATTGCTACCAGAGGAACTGCAACAGTTCAGTTACAACTGGAATAAAGACGGACTTCATTAGTTTTTCTCAAGTATGAAGGCTAGGGGATATACACATGTCCACTGGAGCAGTAAACTGAGCCCAATGTTGATATTAATTTGACTGCTCTGTTCTACCAAGAAGTAATGCTGAGAGCAGCCTAAACATAAACCACAAAATGGCAAAACTTCTATAAAAAAGGCAGTCATAAGAATGGACACAAACCAATCCGTCACCATTTTGAAGGAAAGCATATTCATTACAATTCATACTTTATATGTAGTATGTTACGATCACATAGAAAGGGCTCTTTGCAATTTCCATATGCCTGTGACCACCTGCCTGTATTAAGAAAACATAAATCCTATTATTAGCATGGCTGTGGTCTTAAGTAACATACTTTTATGCTTGTTTAGCTAGCAGGTTTAGACCTGTCTTCCAGAAAGACAAACTGTAAGTTGAAGCAATATAAAAAAGTGACAGTAATTTTCAAATTAATTAAAACTGGTAGGTAAGTGTGAAAAATGAGAAGAAAGCAAAAACAAGAAAAGGAAAGCAAAAAGGGAACAAAACTAGGTTGTTGACACTTAATTAAACAAAGTGCATACACACAATAGAAATATGCATTTTTGGTATGGTTAATTCCTGGGGGTAAGCATATGTTAGAGACTGAGATGTTCCAGAACTCCTGTTTTTGTGAAATTTGAGTAGTGTGGTTTCGAGACATTTTTGAATCATGCATACCACACCACACCCACCCCCTGGAGAAGAGCTGCTGTTCAAAAGTGATTCCTGAGAAAGCTGAAATTAAAGGCTTAGAGTATAAATGTTACCCTACTGTGTTACTGATAGTGTGGTAATAAAAGCCCATATAAGCCCTTCTTCTCAGAGTAAAAATGGAAGATTTACAAAAAGATAGCTAATGGTGCTGCAGAATCTTTATGAAAATTTGTCATGCACTCAGAGACACAGAACTTGTAATTCCACTTTCTTCCATGTAAGTGAGGAATAAAATCACTAATGGCAAAAAAAATGGACTATAGCTTAAGAAGAATTACAACTGAATTGTAACTATTTTGTGCTTCCACCTTTTGTTTTTAAAATAATAATTAGCCTGGAGGCTAAGCACGTATTAAAACACGAAGGACGTCACATTTTAAAAACTACTTTAAAAGTTAGAACACAGTATTTCATTTAGGCTTTTGCCTAGCTAGTAAAATTCTATTGACTTGGATGGGGGTTAGCATGTTATATATTTGATTCATGTTAAAGCAGAGTAATTTCTCATCGTGAGAATTCAAAAAGCAAAGGAGCCCTTGTACATTTTAAAAACACACAAAATTCAGTCAGCTCGGCACATGCTAATATACTCTTCTACTATAATAGCTCATCTTACATTAGTAAAACTACCAATGTTTACATTTTATAGCTCTAATTAAGCCTCAAAAGATGAAAATCAAAATGTGCAATGATCACAAAGGAAAAAAACCCCAACTTATTAATTAGTTACCTATGATGAACTAAAAATCACTTTCTGCCTTTCACTCACATGAAACACATGTATCATCTAATAAACATGATTCTCCAATCATAAAATTACAACATAAGTAATTCTGTTAATCTTTGTGAAATGTCAAAAGAATTTCATAATAGTTGTCAACAGAATTTCATAATACTACTGCAACCACAAGAAACGCTCATCCCAAAACTGAATACCAAGACACAGGCTGCACTTCACACAGTGAGCAGTTTCAAAAAGACAAACAACAATTTTCTTCTACATAAGTGAGACAGTCTTTGCAAGATTCAGGTTTAAGGTGACAGACTAATAATCACCACAAATAAAGACAAGAGCTAGACAAAAGAATAACAACACTGGTGGCATGGGGATTGAAGAGTAGGTAACTTAATTACTGATTTGCAGCAGCTGACTGCTTCTGTGAACACCACTGCCTGCGAAGTCCTTGCCTGCTGTTGGAAAGTTGGCAATAAGGATATAAGAGAAACTCTTCATTGCCAATGGAAGATTCTACCATGCTAACAGTTCAAGTATTACTCATAACTAGCTCTAGAATTCGGCAAAGTTTCCCAAAGTATGACTTCTGTGACAATTTTAATCCAGGTTAGATGAAAATAAAGTCACTAAAGAGGAAAAAAGGAAGAAAATTTAAACTTGTATTCAATTTGAAGACAAAGGATCAGTAACAAATTGTTAAGAGTGTATATAAAGCTCAATGAATCTCCATTCTTTTCCACAATGCAAATTTTACTTCAAAATATGTTGACAATAATCTGGGAAAAAAGCCACCTCTTATACTGTAAGATAATTCTATCTTCAATATGGATTCAGAACATACAACAGGAGAGGGTGTCAGGAGTCTGAATCTTAAGCCACAAAATTATTCTTTACACTGAAGCCAGCAATGAGCTACTTACTATCTCAGGCTTACAGCTGACACACTGGATGCTAATGGAAAACTGAAAATACGAGCCTCCCTGTCATTTTGATCTCTGAACAGTGACAATAACAAGAACAGACTGTTCTTAGTAATTACCTCTAATGCCTTGTGGTAAAATATCTTAGCAACCCTGGAATATTCTGAAGTCTTAAGATCCACACCACCTCCTGGAAAAAGTACCCTGAAAGGCAACATCCAAGAATCTGATTAGCAATGGTGATCAAAAGAAAACCTGGACAACGTACACAGAGAAAGGTCTGACAGTGGTTTTAAGGGTAGGATTAAGACATCTACATTTCAGCAATCTGTAGGTGGGAATATAAGCTTCCTTTATAGACAGCAAGGAACTAGTCAGAAAAGTCAGTGGTGTTTTCTAGAGCAGACACCTACTTGGTCAGTAGGTTGAACAGCCCTGTAGGCTGCAATAACTGGCATTCCACTAATGACGTGAGTTTAGACAGCTAGTGCCCAGGCAGACAGCTACATTTAGTTGTTTTAGAATTTAAATGAATCATAGCCTAAATCTTAAGTGTTCTCCTGAAGAATGGTCACTATCACAAAGTAGTCATCAGGTCTAGAATAACATAAGAGTAAACAGAACATACACAAAACATACAGAGTTCAGCTGGTATACAAAAAGGTTGTGTGTAATGACTGTCAAATCCTGCCTTGACTCTCAGCTGACTCTCCCTACCATTTTAAAATGCTGGATCCAACCTTCATTAACCCTGGTCAATCTCAGTAAAAAACAATTGTGGTCCTGGCAGAGTGACCTCCTTACTGCAGACAACACAGATCAAAAAGTTCCTATTAAAAAGGGGAAAAAAAAGTACATTTAGCCATAACCTTTGGTCACACAGGATCTAATATAGCTGAAAAAGACATAGCAATCTCAGAGACTATTTCAAAGAAACAGTGCACAACCTTTTTCCACCACCAAAAATTTTTGTTTTTAAAATAAGCAATGGCAATTCTTTGTGTAGCTCCCAAAAACCAAACATCACAAAAGACTCAGTACAGTCTAGCAGAGATTTAACATATACATGTGATGACGTGGAAAGTAATCAAGTACCATCTGAGACAGTAACACAAAATAAAGGAAATCCCTTCTGGCCGTAATTAGAACAGTATCAACAGAACTGACTATCTGAATGCTCCCTAACCCACTGCAGCAGAACCCCAACTAGATTTATAGAAGCCAAATCCATCAGTTGCTGATTTTTTTACCAAAATGGCTGACAGATTTACTCAATATTCCTGTGCTCTAGAAATGGCAACCTGTATCAGTGAGGCAATAACAACAAGCTAGAAACTACCAACATCTCACAGGATCCCAAACATCTGCAGAACGAGTGTGCATTTAAACCCTCATGACCAGGTTTATCTTAAGGTGAATGATTCACAAAATTATGAATCAGATTACTCTCTGGTGCCAATATAGAAGATGAATACAGTTAAAGGTATTTCCAAAACAGGCCAGATTATCAATTTCTACAGAGACCTAGTTAAGACAAAGCAGAAATTGTTACCTGGAACTGGTAGAAAATTCACTTCACCTGCTCCTTTTGTTCAACCCAAAAACTAGCCAATACTTATTAGGAAAAACAAATGTAATTTCTGCTAATGTAAAAAGGATGCAACCCATTAAGTACCAATGATAATAGCTTGGCTTTGTTATCAGCAAACTGAAATGCAGCTACCTATATTCCATTATCTCTAACTGACTAGAGATTATGATATTCACTGTGAATTTCAAGGACTATCTCAGGAGTACATTGCTGTATCTCTAAAATTCTGTCTCTACTATAGTAAATTTCATGCTTTTAAAAAGGTGGCATTTAAAAAATAATTTCAACTGTAAGAGCTAAGCTCTTACAACGCAACAAATCAATGTACCTCTTTTATATTCTAAGTTTCCATAAAATTGAAAGTTCTTCCCTCCAGAGATCTTAATTTTTATTTACACACAGCTATACTGTGGAAGCTATTAGCTGACAGTAGAGGCAAAATGAGGAAATACAGAGCATCCTTACCCACTTACATAGCATAAACCCAACTATCAGTCACTGCAAAGACAGCAAGATAAGAGAACTGGATCTACTTGCCTAACACCCTCTTCTGCATTGAGGTAGGTGGTGAGGTAGAAAGAATGGGAGACCACAATGGTGAAAGTCCTTATGGCAACCAAGGAGAGGCTGGCAGCCATAAGGGATGAAATTATACATTTTGTCTCCAACATAAGGAGCTACAGAGGACACAGTGTCATTGTCTTATACAGTCTTGCAGTATAATCAAGTACAGATACTCATCTTAGTGTATGGGGCATGCTGTGGAGCATAAGAGGACAATACTCTTTTCAGACAGCAACAGATCTAAATCTGCAAGTTCTATACATGTTGATTAAGATTCTAGTATATGCATAAGCTTAACAAAAATATTCATGGTTTAAGATGCTCATCTCATGACTACAAGTAGCCCAATCACATGCTATGGGCTCACATACAGTCAAGCCTGTGAAGTGTAGCATCAGCTGATTTAACTCTTCTGAGGTGCACTGTTTGCACAAGGCAAACATAAAAGGTTTTGACTTTGCTTAATTCACAATTAAAATGTGTTAAATTAGATCCCAAATTTAAAATGCAGGAAGAACAGATGAGTGGACAGTTGCCATAGGTCAGACAAAAAGTTAGAATGTCTAACAAAGGCCTAAGCCACCAACTCACAAAGGGCAAGATGGGCTGCTCAAGTAGCAAGAAAGCACCCTCAGAGAACAGGGTGAAGAGACTGGAAATCAGAAACATGTCTGATAGAGGAGAAATGGAGAGGACTGAAAGAAGGGAAGAAAGGGTGTGAACAGAGATGAAATATTCAGCAAGTCCTATTAAATATCAAAATTAAGGTGATGACTCAAATGAGGAAGAAGAAAAAATTAACAAAGAGGAAGTGGGCTATTTCACCTGTAAAATTGTTAACTACTATAGTGTCACTTCTGTCTGCCTGCAAACAAGCACAAGAGAACGCCAAGATGAGCCTTGGCACTGTTGCTGATTATCTGGCACATGCTCCTCAAGGAAAGAAAGGCAGCAGACCGACATCAGATGAAACAGAGCTCCCTCTATTGCAAAACATATGTACATGTCTGGAGCTCTCAGGACAACCTCTCAAGGAAGTAGAAAGATGGCTTTCTTGGGAATCCAACAGACCTCAAAAGCAGAACTATCATGTCTTTTACCATAAAATCAGTGCTCAAAACTTACCCATTAATAGAGTGGAATATTTTATCATATTCTTCATCTGAAAGATTTAACCTGAAACACCAAAAAAATAGATACAGGATATATATAAAATATATTTAACCATAAAAATATAATAATTCTTGGACACATGCAACACAGAAAATATGTAGAAAGCATGCTTTGAACAGAATAAAGCAGACCCAATTCAAATGAAACATTTCAGTTGAAAGAGCTCAACCCACAAGACTGAAAATAGGGCTCTGTCAGGATTAGATACTCTGAGACCCTTTGCAGACACTTGTTAAATTTAACATTTATACAAATGGAATGGCTATTATTTCCTGCAGACTGGCAACTCCGGTTCCCAATCGACTCCAAGAAGGGCAGAGCAGCAAACAGTGGGTCACACCCATTCTTCAGTCAAGATACAGTTGAGAGGCGGCACGATGAGGAAGACCTCAGCATCAGCAAAACGTCAGCAAACCAGTATGACAGCTAAACTGCACAGCTGATACATGGGATATAATCAAAGTGTTTGGCTTTGCTGTATCTCACTTAGTTGCCAGAATTAGAAGGTTCCATTCACTGATGAAGCTGCTGGTCAGCAAACATTCTCAAAGCTCCACCAGCTACATGAGGAACACTGGCTTCTAATTCAGGCACTTAACTAGTGCTATTATTGGACTGTATATATACATGCTATTGTGATTTTCTGCAGCTGCACTAGTATCATTAAGTTCTGACAATTACCATTTTAACATCCGATTCCAGTGCATTTACTACTTTTTCACCAACTGTTGGCTATGAAGTATTGTCAGCTCTGTTACTTATTCTGCTGCTCTTTACCCAACAAACAAAATACAGCACACAGAGTTAGTGACCCATACTTTGAGCAGAACTGGACTTTGAAGTACTAGCTACTAACAGCCTTCCTCCATTACTTGAATTCTAGGACTACAGAATGTGACAAAAGACAGCGTATATATATGTACCTAGATACCTATGTGTGCTTCTGGGGCACTACACATTAGACTGAACATAGCTAACTTCACAGACCACACATGAAAAGTAAGGAGGATCATTTTATGGGATAAAAAAATATTTTTCAAAGAAAGGCAATTATCTTAAGAAGAAATATTTAAAAGTATGTGTTGCAGTCTGTGTTTATTCTGATTTCCAAAACTGCCATTTCAAATAGTCTTTTAGGAGTTCTAAGCTCTTAGAAAAGCAGCATGACTGCTTTCTCTAAAATAATACCCTTACATTAAACAATTACTACCCACTTGTGAGGATGTAAAAATCTACCTTATTGGCACAACTCGGGCACCGGCAGATTCCAAAAATTTCACATATGAAGCTGCAATATAAGAACTCCCAAATTTGTTGAACTTCTCAAAGTGACATTCCTGTGCCAATACCCCTGAGGGATCAAAGAAAGAAAATTATCACTATACAAATAAAAAGTGCTACACGCTAAAATAATAACTAAACTCGAATTTCTTACGTGGCAGGTTACAGTGCTACACTTACTGCCTGAAGGAATCACAAACACCGAGACAATGGGGCATTAAGTACAACGCTTAGTCACAAGGTACCAAATAAACACACAATATGACTCAGTTTAACTATTTAGTAACGCACCTTCTATTAAATAAGTTACAGCTATTGTAAGGTTGTTGGGGTTTTTTTTAAGCAAGGCATGCGCAGCGTGGCAACATTTGTCAAAGCTGTAATAAACCCCACGCTTCAGGAGACCGCTTCACGGCACACAGAACCGGCAGGGTTTCGTGTCGGTTTTAGCAGCCGTTCCCTGCGCGGGACAGCGAAGGCAGCGTGAGAGGAGGGAGTGAGCGAGTGTGCGAGGAGTGAGCGTGGAGTGTGCGAGGAGGGAGCGAGTGTGCGAGGAGCGAGCGAGTGTGCGAGGAGGGAGCGAGTGTGC